CAAGCATAAAGACTTAGCAACGTCTCGCCTGCACCTGACTTACATGTATACGCTGAGGCTCCCCTCAGTAATCCTCACCTTGCTTCCTCTTATAGTATGTTCGGGCTAAGTGAAACTCGGAGTTGCAACACAGTTCTCCCCCTCTCCTCCTCCTCCTCCTCCTCCTCCTCTTCCTCCTCCTCCTCCTCCTCCTCCTCCTCCTCCTCCTCCGCTCTCTCTCTCTCTCTCCATCTCTCTCTCTCTCTCTCTCTCTCTCTCTCTCTCTCTCTCTCTCTCTCTCTCTCTCTCTCTCTCTCTTGTGTGGCTCAGTTTAGATGAGTATTCATCAAACAAGTGACTGACTACCTTGTGATTCCAGGTGCACTGGCAGAAAAGCAACGAGCGATAACTATTATCGTCTGCAGTGACAATCCTCTTGTACATTATGAAACCTACATAATTATAGTGTTGGTCCTTGTTTTTAATTTGTTTTTCGCAGCTGATGGAAATAAAAGGGGGTTTGTGAACTGACAACCGCTCCATTTAGTTGCTATTCACTCTGTTGATGAAAATTCTTTTATTGATGATGTAGAAAATTTATTGACGTTTCGGGCCAGTCACCCATCGTCAAAACAATGTACAAATAGCGAACCTGGCCTTTTAGTTTTATAACGAAAGCAAACTGATGCAGTGCTGAAGACTGTTCAATGTCCCAAACACACTCTACTCTATAGGGCTTGAAAGTGCTACGTCACAGCATAGCAACAATTTCAAAAATTCTAAAAATTGGATCCACTTGGATCCAGTTTTTGTATGGATCAAAGCACATTTCAAGCCGTCTTACTCACAGCAAGGTGATGTAACCAGTGAAACTGACTGATTTGGCTACTGGGGGCGGGGTTACAACTGGTGGCGAAGTAAAAGTCACCCCTGCATACGACATGAGTGGGTTGCTATGCACCCACATACTGAGGCAATAGCAAAGTCACACCTTAGTGGATCCAAAATAGAAATCTGATGTCAACTTACTACTCCCTGGCCTTTTTTGACGTCATCATTTTCAAGCCCTATTGTGTAGTAATACACGTACAGTGTATCTCATTTGTCTACTCACGTTTTGCAGAGATTGACGAGTGTGCCAGCGAGCCGTGTCAGAATGACGGGAGTTGCATCGACGCATTCAATAGTTTTTCGTGTAACTGCTCAGTTGGCTACACGGGCGACGTATGTCAGACACGTAAGTATGCCCCCGCCATGTGCTCAATATGCAATGTCATGCGAAACTATTCTGTTAGTCGCTGGACGTGTGGATTCATGTCATGACAATAGCAAATTTCATTCGTGCTGTAGAGGATTTACTTCGAAGTATTGTTATGGGGACCAGGCAGGCACAGTGGGTTGATCAAAGACCATGATTCAGATACGAGAGGTACCTGGTTAAATTCCTGCCTGGGAGCGGTTTTTCCAGCCGTGCTGCTACCCACAGTCAACTGGGAACTTGTGGCCAGGCACAAGGGGTACATGGATGCAGTTAATGGGGTCGTTCTCGACACTTGTGCCAGTGGTTGTGAGACTTACCCACTCACCCCCGGCCCCACCGTAAGGCGCTGCATCTGCGGCTAGGGTTTACCGGGTGTTAGCGGCCGTCGTGAGTTCCCTTCGGGAACGGACACGATAATTTACTCTTTTTTTATTGTTATGGGGTGCCGTTTAGTGACGTAACCCCGTTGCGTCAGTGACAATTAGGCCCCGGTGTAATATGCCCGAAACTTTGCCGAAAATGCTTTTGGGAAATTCTCATAAACCTTGCCCAAAATGCTCCCAGACCTTGCCGAAAATGCTCGGAAAATGCTCACTTTTTTGTCATCCTCAGCACACGCCGTCAAAACCAGGGAGTCAGAAAATACTCAATAAGAGACTTGCTCGAGTCTGCCATGGTAAACAAGTCATAAACTACTCAACAAGAAGCTAACCCACGGAGTGCGGAAGTGACGTTCTTGTTTGGGAAGTTTTTCTTCTCCCAATTTTGATACACAACGGCCAAGTGCTCCGTTTCCCCCAAAATGCTGCATCACGAGCCCAAAGTGCTGGGTTCGCGGATTGTACCGAAAATGCTCAAAATAATGCCGGCATATTACACGGGGCCTAGGGACAATACAGTGACATGCCATTTTTGCCTGTCATTATACCCATTCAGTTCTGTGGAACTTTTCTGCATTGTATAAGAGAAGCCCAGATCCAGTCAAAGGTTGAATGCATACGAATTACGAAGATCCAATCGAGTCACGTGATGAGTGCATACGAACACCTATTGTACATGTACTGTCGTGGACATGGAAATCCAGTCGATTGACCGGGGCCGGCGCCCTCATCGCGTACTGAACGCTGCGTGCAGTGCACAGTCATATTCATCCGATGCGACCAGCGCGCTGCACGCATAAATGCATGTGTGTACGGACTACGGCTGCATGGCCGGCGCCCCGGGGCCCCTAGACGTGTGACCGGATTTCAATGTCCACAACATTATAATGTAATCAAGTCATTGTGGTCCCGGGCGCGGGATGAGTGCATAAGACAGCTTGTAACTGATCCAGTCACGTCACGTGTCAGACTTATATGTACATGTCATGTAGATTCAGAAAAGTGTTGACGCCCATAGGACATTTTTGTGTTACTCCCTACAGGTTGGCTGACACTAGCTGTATTTGAAGCGTTGAATGCAAACGTCGCTATCCTTGAGTCGCAATTAGCTGAGGCGAACCGCACCATCCGGGCGAGCCTGAATACAAACGTCGGCATCCTTGAGTCGCAATTAGCTGAGGCGAACCGCACTATCCGGGCGAGCGTGAATGGAAACGCAAATCGCATAAACAATTTGGAAGGCCCTGTGTCTACATTGCAGGTATGTTAGAGTGTTACTGTATGCATGATGACTGTATGCATGAAGACTGTATGCATGATGACTGTATGCATGATGACTGTATGCATGAAGACTGTATGCATGATGACTGTATGCATGAAGACTGTATGCATGATGACTGTATGCATGATGACTGTATGCATGATGACTGTATGCATGATGACTGTATGCATGATGACTGTATGCATGAAGACTGTATGCATGAAGACTGTATGCATGATGACTGTATGCATGATGACTGTATGCATGATGACTACATCAAGAGTGTTGGAGCGCCACTTGAGTCTTGACTTCAAAATGTACAATGTACATTGTACATTTTGCCTGATGATCGTAGTAATACATGTACAATGTACGTGAAACTGAGAGTTGTGACAAAGCTTCAAATCTCCCTTGTGTATACATGTACATGTACATGTGAATGTGGTGAGCATAACAAGTGCTGGAACATGAAAGTGAGAGTCTGTAGTTCAGAGAAACGATAGAGCAGAGATTGTGTAGAAGAAGCTACAACTACTGTATGAACAAAAGAATGACATACAGTAATATACAATTTTCGTAGGGGTGGACATGAAACAGGCAACTGCCATTATGATACTATAATACCCGGTATATCTACTGCAATGTGTGTACATTACATGAAGTATACTACTTCGAAGTATTGTTTGTGTGGATTGAGGGATGGGGAGACGGTTTGGAGGCAAACTGTCTGATGATCACTACCTGACTTATATATAGACACTTGTGATATTGCTGGATTCTTCTTGAGGTTCGACCTGTGCTGAGTCTTGTATTTGTTTCTGTGCGTGTTCTCCTCAAGGAGTTACAACAGTGCAATCCAGCATCACTAGGATTCGCCTATACAACACATTACGGAGTTGGAAATGGAATCACCCAACTGGCTAGCCTCCGATTCACGAAGAAACGTGCATCCACACTTCTACGGATCACTTACTCAACCACTATTCGGACTAGTGGAGGGCCTCACGGCTCAGGCTCTCTGTGGTACGCCAAAATTGACGGTCAACAGTGCACTCGGCCAGCACGTATAAATATTGCTCACTACCGACGTGAACCCGATCGAGTGTCTATTCCTGCCTATTTGGAAGGTCTCTGCGGAGCGACAAGTGCGGGACCAATCAAGGAAGGCAGTCACGTGATCACAATTCACACGGGAGAACTTACGAACGTAGCTGACGCTACCTCGGGCGGCTGGGCGTCACACTCTCTTCTGCAAGTCAAAGAGATCTGCGACCAATAAGGAACTTTCGTTACACTGGCAACGTTAGATCGGATCAGTGATTTCCTTCGCTCTCTCTCTCTCTCTCCCCATCTGGGATATTGCATAATTATACATGTACATGTACATATACATGTAGTGTCCCTGTTATTGGTTGACAACATGTAACAAGGTAGAGACCACAGTGTTCGGAAACAGTGACCTTTCTACAACCATCCACGGTTGGTAGAGCCCCGGTCTTCACGACCATCTGAACCGTATGGGTGTTAGAGCCCGGTTCTGACCCTCTTTATTCTAGGGGAGTTGTCTAAGTTTTCTTGTTGTTGTACCTTCAGTCGTGTATTCGTTGTTCGCTCCTGGATGTCTTCTTGATATTCAGTCTTCGCAAAATTTGTAGCTTCTGTTCTGAATTGTTATTCTTCTTTTTCTTTTTATACTCGTTTTCCAACTTCTACCTCTTCTATTGTACTGTCACTCTATACGCATGTGTTATTGTTGTATCATCAGTATCAGCTGACATGTACACTACTGACTTTCCACTTATCTCACATGCTTGCTTGTTCTACCCGTCGCACCATTGAATGCATGGACTGTTGCCTGGGTACTGGCCGCCCCTTTGCTCCATTCAGCCCTGCAGCCATTGCTTTCATATGTAATCGGCTGTACTTCGTTCACTAATCTGTTTCGTCACCTACATGTAGCCAAACGTTTTGATGTTGTTGTTTGCAGTACGCTATACACCTCTCCCTTTCAACCGAATGCCATTTACCCACCTTTCTATTCAGCTTCTCCTTCTGCATGATTATAACTACATTATAAATGACAATACTTTTGTACGTGTGCGATGACCCCCTTCTTTGTCATTCTTCTGTCCACGCATAAAATGCACCTACTTTGACCTTTGAAACTCGGATGTTGAGCCATAAAAATATGTAAAAAGGAAACGGACATATGGATACGAGTTAAGAGCAACTCTCTATCACTGTAACTGGATACTATAATTATACTGTCAGAAAAAGCAATAACTAGGCACAAAACTGACAGAGTACTGAGACATTCGACGTCCTGACACCTATGTATATAGTATCCAGTTACAGTGATGGAGAGTTGCTCTTAACTCGTATCCATATGTCCTTTTCCTTTTTACACTTTGACCTTTCTTCTTCCTTCCCACTTCTCTGCCATGCATTGCCCCTCACGCAGTCTACCTCTAAAAGCTTGCCTTTGTTTCCTTAGTTCATAGTTAGTTCTACCAACTAACCTCCAGGTGTGTACAGTGTAGCGGAGTACGTTCACTACTTTCGTTTTGTTTCCTTCCTTAGGTTGTTACTCCGGGTGTGCAGCGAAGATATTTCGATATTATGAACAATAATATACATGTACAGTGAAATCTCGTTAAGAAGAACACGGATAATACAAACTTTCACTTTAGAAGAACTAGTATTCATGACTTTATTGGATAAAACACTGTGCATTCACTGGGTATAAAATACGGATAAGAAGAACTCCCGTTATTGCAAACAAATACCACCGGTCCCTTAGCGTTCGTCCTAAAGAGGTTCGACTGTACGTACATGTAGCAGACTCAGCGGAGGACGTTCAGGTTGGTTGTAACTAGTGTTGAAACGAGCGTATCTATAACAAACAAGCGATCAGTTCCACTAACGAGCAAGCTATCGAGCGAGCTAACGAGTTTCATTGATGTGGCAAATATGATTTTTGAACTTTTTTCTAAATTCGATTTTTTTCAGCTGGTTCAAATATCACCGCCGGCATTTGGGGTTGCTGCTGCTTCACTTCGAACTGCTGTTTGGTGTCGAGATGTCTTTTCAGCGCTGTCGTTGAGCAGCCTTTGTAAGAATAGACCCTTTCGCAAAGATTGCAAGTAGCCCTGTTCTTCGCTGCATCGCGGGAGAAAACTTCCAAACGACTCAGCGTAACTTTCACTCGAATGGAGAGGTGACCGAAGCATATCCTGCGACAGGTCAGCAGATGCGGAGCAAGACATCAGTAGAGTCCACCAAAGCTGCAACGACAACTGAAACAACTCAGTGTCGTGCAGGTGTCACTGTAACTGCGAGTGATTTTCATTTTGCGCGGGACTGGACTCTTGATTGACCAGGGAGTCGTAAAATATTCTACGACTCCCCGGTCCACATGTACTGCCATGTGTACGGAGTACGGTGTACGGTGTTCGTTAGTGCAAACGAGTTGGCCGCACAAACGAGCCGAGTTTCTGGCGAGCGAGCTAACGAGTACCCGGTGAGATCGTTTCAACACTAGTTGTAACTATGAGGTTCATGCTGCTAGGCAATCATCAGACAACAGATCAGACAACTGATCAGACAACTGATCAGACAACTGATCAGAGAACTGATCAGACAACTGATCAGACAACTGATCAGAGAACAGATCAGAGAACTGATCAGAGAACAGATCAGACAACTGATCAGACAACAGATCAGAGAACTGATCAGAGAACAGATCAGAGAACAGATCTATTAGAATTATGTCTAGTCACACTCGGGTGGAGAGGCAAGGATAAACTTATAAGAAGAAAAGAGGACCAAAGAGCTACAAACTATGCTATGAATATAGTGTATCTGGTAGCTCTTTGGTCCTCTTTTCTTCTTTTATATGCATGTACATGTATATGACTATGGGGTATTCCTTGCCGCATTCGTGTTTAGTTAAGCATCGGTGGTAGGCCTTGGCGAATAATGTCGGCAGAAAAATTGGCAGAATTTGGTACCTTTTCTGGTAAGGTTCATGCATGTTTGGTATGTGGATAAAGAAATGGAGCAGAATTCGAGGATTTAGTAGTGCAGTAGTATACTTTTGTTTACAGTGGAGAAAACCGAAACAGGCAGATGCCTAATAACAATGGACCCACTGTGTAGGGTGGTGGAGGAGTGTAGGGTGAAAGAGGGGTAGGCCTGGGCGGATAATGCTAGTTATTTTGCGGGATAATGCTAATGGCAATGCCAGAAAAACTGTATCATAATGCTACTTATAATGCTGCTGTTTCTCTGTAATGCCAGCAATTCACCAGTAGTAAGGATGGAAAATGGCTTGGTTTGGGTAGTATTGTGCACGTTTCGTAGTTCTGCGTAGATGGCATGGAAAATGCTAGAGAATCATGATCATAATGCTAATTTTATGCTGCTATTGCTCCATACAATCCCTTGCAGCAAGCTGTCCAGGGAGGAAAGTCTCGAGTGGAGGCCTTTCGATCTGCTCGCTCATTCGCCTGGCATTCAGTAGCACTTCATTGCCAAGGACTTTAATTCAAAACAGTTTTCACACTGCGCTTCAAGCCTTTTCCTCGTGAACTTGTTGCAAACGTATGAGCTCTGCTGCGCGTGTTCACTTTGTGTGAGGCCCAGAAACAGCTACTACTTATACTAGTACTACAGTAGTATCTCCGTACTTCGATTGGCTGGATCGATGTCGTCCAGGTTCTCCTCGCTAATGCCATCACGACTCTAACTAGAGACGATTTCTTCACCATTTTCCACAAGCAGCAGCTAGCGCAGAAATTTCGCCATCCCTGAGTGTAGGAGATGGAATCAGTTCGATCAGCTCAAAAACTCTTCGTTGTGACTAGAGGAGTAGCAGGGAATATTCTACCGGAACTTGGCGGAAGCCCTTTGAAATCCCTGACTGCTGAAACCCTTCCTGCCATGTCTGCTAGTGCTACTTCTTCAAACAAGCGAGATGACTTTGGTTCCACTTCGCTGCATGTACTCGAGCGTCCACGCGTGCTTGCGACACAACCTTTTTATAAAACATTATTTTTCTAAAAAAAATGATTTTCACCCTATTAAAGCCTGTTCTTTTTTCGCAGAAGTAAGGGCCATTTGAGTACTGTATAATGGCACTTTTGTGGAAATGCAGTGTTATAATGCTAGCATAATGCTCGTTGCAAATTGCACACTGTACTGCTACTTATAATGCTAGCATTATCCGCCCAGGCCTAAAGAGGGGGGAGACATGGCTAATGGTAAATAGTGGCGGCGAAATAGAGCAGTTCCAGCACAGCTACAGAAACACGGGAGTAAAGCTAAAAGCAGGCAAGAATGTGTTGCAAAGCGCTTGACTTGAATGCGGCCAGTTTGGTGACACCTCGGATATCCGCATGGAGGGAATTCCAGAGAACTGCGCCAGCATGTGTCACCGATTTGGTAGAGCGTGCAGAAGCAGCTGCAGGGACGATAATTTCCCGCCATAAGGTTTGTATGGTTCTGCCAATTTCACTGCCTTTCGATCAGAATCTGCCACCTTTTCGAGCAGAATCTGCCACCTTTTCGAGGATTATCCGCAAAGGGCTAATCGGCAGCGGATGCCCGGATACTGACTTTTGGGGGCCGGAATTATGCTAGCATAAAAAAGCAGCATATTTGGTCCAAACATAACTGGCATAAAAGCCATATTTAGCTCAAAGTGGGTTCATTCAAACAATACGACATGGAAAGAAGGAAGAACACCAAAAGATACAAGGGATGAAGCTTGGCGATGAAATCAAAATGAAAATTTGAAATGGTCTAATTCAAAGAAACTCAAGGCAGGTGTAACAAGGTTGTGTAAAAGATTCAACTCAATCCCTAGACGAATGCTTTGAAATATGTAGAGTGTGCATGAATGATTCACGCTGAGACATAGCACCCCGATAAGCCGTATTTAGTACATCAACCACAAATGTATTAGTATTTTTTTTTACAAAATACACAACTCACCGGCAGGCACATGGGGCTAGCATGGGGTGAGATGGTGCTGGTGGGGCTTGCCATGCTCAACCGACCGGAGGTCTCGGCATCTTCACATGGCAGGCGCACCAAATTCGGGAGGGAAGCATAAGCATGAGGGGAGAAAAGCACGGGAGAAAATGGAAGATTTAGACTGAAGGAGGGGATCTAATTTTGGAACACAGCAGAAAATAGCAAATAATCAAACAGATAATTGGAGTGAAAGGAGAGTGTCAAATTAAGGGTGCAATAGGGTAGCAGTGGAGATTGGCTACTCAGGATTGGCGACAATTAGGCTTGGGGTGGGAGAAGCAGGGGCATAATCACGGAGGAGGGTAGAGGCGGTCCGGTTGCCCAGTCCCAGTCAGACTGCCTCAGGTGGTCAAAGACCTTCTTCTTGAAGGTCTGCATCGACTTCTGGGAGGGGCGAGCACTGCGGATAAAGGCTGGGAGGGAATTCCAGGTGGCAATCATACAATGAGGGAAGGACCGAAGGACATTGTTCCGAGACTGTAGTATGGAAGGTCTACCACGTGGAGTCTGTAATGTCACAGAACCCGACTCTGGCCAGAAATTCAGGTGAACACTGATATGTTTTACTTGACTAAACATTTAGGCAAGCGAGAATTACTCAAGTACTTGAAGTAGTCGAGAACCCGTTGGTTAGTACTGTAAACGGCCACTAATATGCAATGTACATGTAGCAATGTTTGCTTGTGTGTGAAAGAAATGGAGAAATCGAGTTTTCCTTGATGCTGCAATACAAACCATACATACGGAGCCGACTCAGCACTACGAGTACTGCTTGAAGTTTTTTTAATTTAAATTAAAAAATTTTTTTTTTTTACCTTGAACCTTCCGAGTTGGAAGGCTGTCGGTTAGGGCTACGGAAATGTGTTGAAGCTACATGTAGATGTCAGGACGTCGAATGTCTCAGTACTCTGTCAATGTTGTGCCTAGTCTTTGTACTTTCTGACTGTATAATTATTAACTAGTTACAGTGGTGGAGAGTTACTCTTAAAGGGAAACTGAACGCCAAAAATAAGTATGGCTTATCCGAAGGAGAATTGGGCACTGATTCCGATGAGCTATGTCTCGAGCCGATCAGAGAAGAGGAACTGTGTCAAATTTCATAAATAACACCTCCCATATTTGGAAATTGGCCTTGATGACGTGCGTACTGCTTAGCTGTCACCATGCTGTGCATGTTCAGCAGTGTAATTGAATGGAAGAAAACAATTACTTTGGTGTTTTGCAGCTCTGTTTCGTTCCCTGACGGTAACCAAATCTAGATGTAGGAATCTGTTGAGCAGGAGAGTGACACATGTCTTCCCGAAGGCTGTCCAGGCTGCAGTGGTGATGAAGAAGACACGATCATCACCCCGAGATCGATCGTAGCGAATTGGAAAACTCATGGTGAATTTGCTTCCACTCCAAGGCAATGTCGAGGTATGAAGGGTGCTTGTACTGCCTTCCAAAGTGAAGAGGAGATGAACATGGCTTTGCATAGCTGTTGTTCTATGCCAACTTACCTACTCTTGCTGGTACCGTAGTGGCATATTGCAAATTTCGTGGACGAACAACTCTAGTCACTAGTGGCTAGTGAGCAACACTAACAGGTGAGATTTTTTAATTCGACAAAAATTGTTTTTGTTTGAGAACTGGCAGTGGCAGTCATTAGACTCAGTAGGTGTCTTTGCTGCTTCTTTCCCTTCATTGGTAGGGTTGTGCTTGAATAGTACAAGTGCTTGAAGTAAAATAAAATAAATAGAACATGTGGAACATAAATCTAATCAAGCATCAGTACATGTATTGTGAATTTCAACTTCAAAGCACATGAAATCACAATGATCACGAAGTTTATGTAATCAGGAGTACATCCTGTGTTCAACGAACACATACACACATGCTGTATTGCGCACACACATGTACACATGTGCGTGCAGCCCCACCCCATCCCACAGACACACGCATGCAGCGCGCACATCCATACACATGTGCGTGTACCCCCCCCCACACACACACATTCCTACCCATACACATGTGCGTCCCCCCCACACACACACGTGTGCACATACAGATACACAAACACACACGCACGAACACACACACACAAGATACGTGTAAGTGTACATGGTCTTCCTGGTGCAGATGCTGAGCCAGCACAATGGAAAATACCTCCATCAAGATGCTTGATCAAGTGTTGTGATAATGGCACTGTTTGTTTGTTTTTACAAAGAAGTGTGGGAAAGACTACAATGCATTATAATTCATAATTGTTCTTTGCCTTGTACTGTGCAGACCAGAATGCTTCGCTATCAACTCCTGGCTTTCCATTGGCATGGTGTTCAGCTGCAGCGGCATCTGGTCCGGGGAGTTCAAGTTGCTGGATGGCTGCACTGACACAGGATGGGTTTGCGTTGGCAATGCGATACGGCAGTCATCCCACATCACGAGCTACATGTTTATGTAATTTATATTGTCGCTCGTCCAGCAACGTCAAGGCTCTGCATGTAAACACAGGAGATAATAATACTACTCAGGGGATAATAATTTTGGATATCAATTTCGTGACAATTATTAGATTCACACAATATTCACAACGTATGCAACACGATGCTGTCTATTGACACTACTTCAAACTGAAGTGCTCACTACTCCTCTCCCGTTTTCATCTCCCTCTACCTTATGAATACTCTGCATTACTGGTTTCGTTTCTACCCTTTCCATTGCTGCCAGCTCCCAGTTTTTTTCAATGCACAGCACCACCTTGACAGTCATTTTTGTGATTTGATGTACACATACTTTGAAGTTCAAATTCGAATTACATGATCAGATTTTTGTTCCACATTTTCTATTTATTTTTACTTCAAGCACAACCCTACCGATGAAGGGAAAGAAGCAGCAGAGAGACACCTACTGAGTCTAATGACTGCCACTGTCAGTTCTCAAACAAAAACAATTTTTTGTCGAATTGAAAAATCTCACCTGTTAGTGTTGCTCACTAGCCACTAGTGACTAGAGTTGTTCGTCCACGAAATTTGCAATATGCCACTACGGTACCAGCAAGAGTAGGTAAGTTGGCATAGAACAACAGCTATGCAAAGCCATGTTCATCTCCTCTTCACTTTGGAAGGCAGTACAAGCACCCTTCATACCTCGACATTGCCTTGGAGTGGAAGCAAATTCACCATGAGTTTTCCAATTCGCTACGATCGATCTCGGGGTGATGATCGTGTCTTCTTCATCACCACTGCAGCCTGGACAGCCATCGGGAAGACATGTGTCACTCTCCTGCTCAACAGATTCCTACATCTAGATTTGGTTACCGTCAGGGAACGAAACAGAGCTGCAAAACACCAAAGTAATTGTTTTCTTCCATTCAATTACACTGCTGAACATGCACAGCATGGTGACAGCTAAGCAGTACGCACGTCATCAAGGCCAATTTCCAAATATGGGAGGTGTTATTTATGAAATTTGACACAGTTCCTCTTCTCTGATCGGCTCGAGACATAGCTCATCGGAATCAGTGCCCAATTCTCCTTCGGATAAGCCATACTTATTTTTGGCGTTCAGTTTCCCTTTAACTCGTTTCCATAATGTCCTTTTCCTTTCTACATTTTATTTTACAGTAAAACCTGTCAAGGCGACCACCTGTCCCAGGAGACCACTGAAACCAGGATCGAGGGGTGCTATTTCCATTCAAATGACCCTGGATAAGGAGACTACCTTGTAACAGAGACCACGTTTTCAAGGTCCCTTGAGCGGTCGTCTTAGGCAGGTTTCACTGTACTATGGTCACATTCCCAGCTCGAAAATAATGAAGAAAAACAATAGATGACTTGCACAAAGATTGTCTGGGTTCGAGACGGGGCAAGTGGACCTTCTGACTCTGACTTCCCCACCTTTTGAGTGACTTTCGCTTTTGCCTGACGAACACTGAGCTAGTTTTTTTTTGGCTAGAACGTAAAGTTGTTTTGATTCGGCTTGTATAGTCATGCCGAAGCGCTGCTGCGCTCCTGAATGCACTAGCAGACGAGAGATGGAACCGTAGTGAAGCTCCCAGTCCATACGTTCCTTTCCGAGCCGGCCGGGAGGCAGAAAAATGAGGGAGTATTATGTTAGTATCATTGGTGTAGGCTGCAACAAGCACGTCGTGGTCCTGAAGTGTGACTACTTTCCCGCAGTGGAAGCGAAGTCAAGCACAACGTTTGTGGACGTCTGAGATAGAACTCGATTTCCTTTGATTCGGCTGCACTAGCTCCAGAGCGACCCTCTCCTGAGGACATGTCGACAGACTGCGGAGAGGCCAGGAACCTGCCGAGCCACGAGTGGAAGCCCAAACCACGAAAATGAAGGGTGGAAGGACTGAGTGTGAGAGCCAGATGGCCTTTAGTAGTACTTCAAGTAGTATCTGAGTTGAAGGAGAGAACAAGTGTGCTGGAGAAACGCTGCGAAGTCCTCAGGCCTGATGTGTACTAGCAACTGTTGAAGTCTCACTTGTTCCGAAATGAACATTTCATCAGCCCTGACTCTGAGCAGCTGTATCTAGACTTGGACTTAGGCCAGAGACATAGCATTGTAAACCTTACTGAAGCCATATGTATCCAATGCCTGGCTCTAGTGAGCAAGCAGTTTGGCGCAGGCTCGCAAACTATGATTGAATCCGGGAGTGGTGGAAAGTCACATTATACCTCTCCATGATTAGCTGGTAATGACGACGATGCGGCTCCGGCTGGGTCTCATGGGAAAGTAACATACCTGTTTAGTTGCAACGAGGCAACAGAACTGTGCTGTGAGGTACCTTCTGCGTTGGACCTACAGTTGAGCCACTACTCTTCTTACAAATTCCATACAACGGTGAAAGGATTTGTTGGAGCATCATCAAACAGTGCATTCATCTTCATCATACACTGGCTCTGTTGCCTACAGTAGTTCACATTTTGACGGGGCGCGCTGGGACGATACGGAAGGAGCGGCGGGAACCATTGGAGTGCTCATGATGCTGGTTAGCGGAGACGGATGTGAGTGTCAGGAACGGGAACGCAACCGCACTACTGTACAGATCAGGAAGCGATGGAGGAGTTGAATCTGTTCAACCTTCCATGCCGTGCACAAGCATAAAATGGCTACATTTCGAATGTGAACTGGCGATGGCATTGTATGGCGACGAACACAACTGCAACTGTTCAAATTTCAGCATTTCGAACATTATGCTTCCCATGATAACTCACCGATTGGCTCACATGACGGAGTTGGACATTACCAGGCTAGGATTATCATTTGCTGTATTTATGGATAGTCCTTGAGTTTTCAGATGAAGTGCTTTATCTTTTACCTGTCGTTCCTTTAGAATGGCACAATGTCCATGGCTGCTTTCTTGTCTTCATAACAGACTGGTATACTCAGCATGATTCTGCTTTATTTGAGAAGAAATAAAACTTTCCTTTCGGAAAGGAAGCCGAGAAACGTCAACCCCATGGCCTGTACTTTATGACTCTCGTCCATCGACGTTAACCGTCGCAATAACTACTGCATGTATGTTGTGCTGTGCGAACCGTACAAGGATTTTACAGCTCACCCACGCCTTCCCAATATGCTCCTATATCCCGTACCGTTAGCGTTACATTGAATAGGAACTAGGCTAGCACAGTTATCCTTCGTTCTTTCGATGGCGGCGGGTAGCATGGAACTTGACGTGTTCTTGGGAACCTCGTGCAACACTTGCTGTTCCAGGAAGCCATATTATTGGGTGCATCGAGGTTGCTTCTATGCTCACTTTTGTTTGGTAAGACACGTTTTTATAACTATTTCACCGAAGAATAAGGCAAGAGTATTTTTGGGTTGGTTTGAACGCCTGGCTTCTCTTCACATACATGTAATAATTATACAGTCATGTACTTTCTCTCGCATCCTTAACTATGTTACGAGTACATACACAAAATAGGAGATCCCCCAGATAGGCGTTAGCCTTTGGGTAATCCTGAAATAAAGATTATTATTATTATAATTATTACTTCCACTAACCCTACAACTTTCAAGTGCACATAACTCATGAGCTGCTGAAGCCAGTGACGGTACTGACCATGTACATGTTAGTCTGACTGCCGATTTTCAAAAGCCTGTTTTACGTTTCCTTTTTATGCTGACAAGCTGAAAGTTTGTATGCTGGTAGGCAGCCCCTTTGGGATTGTACCTGGCGTAGTTGGCCATCGCGGAGCTGTGCACAACCTCGCGAAATCGTCGACTTTTGATTTCGAGGTTCGAACAATACGCACCCCATGCGCTGCTCAAAGCCGCACAAATTTGAATACCTGAGCAGGTGATATGAATGACGACGCCGGCCCCCGGGAAAATTTGAATTCAATTCTCAACACTCGAAGTAGATGACAATTGTCCTTGCCTTTCGACCACACGACAGTTTTTAGTTATCGTCAGGTGTATTGAGGTAGAATGGAGAGTGAGGAGAGCAGCACCGAGGACGAGGACTGTGCGGACCCCTCACCCAGCAGTAGCATTCTGGTTTTATGCGAGCCGACACGACGAGGAAATGAGGAGAACGCAGGTGAGTTTATTTTGTAATTTAAATTTGTTAGTTTTGAAGCTCTTGAACAAACAGCCCGGACTGCCTTTGCATGTATCCCACTGTTCCTGCAGCTGGTATGTCTTGGGAGCGATGCTTGTGCCACTGCTGCCCTGGCGCTACCAATCAGCGGAATGTTACAGATGTGTCTTGGCCGAGAATCGTGAAAGCAGCATTGTTACGGCAGGATGCAACTTGTGCCTTCCTGGTTCAACAGAATTGCGCAGATGAGAATGCTGAACCTCGTGGGTTTGTACATGTACAGGAAGTACACGCACAAGAAAAGTCTCGAGAGAATCTCAAAAGCCCAAGCAAATGCCAACAGTTCTTGCTCTGATTCCTCAGCCTCAGATGAGGATGATCAGCCACCACCTCCGAAAAGGCCATGTACACGTAGCACAGCGCCACAGCCAACACGGAAAGAGCTGTGTTTGTTCTGCCAACAACAGAGCAAGCGGAAGCGAGGGAAGCCAGCTGAAAAGCTGTCAGTGTGCGAGAGCTTTGACGCAGCGCAGAGGATTCTGGACGCTGCGTTGGAGAAGGAAGATGCCCGCAGAGTTTTGCAATGCAGGAGTCCATTTTCAATGGATGCAAGCAGTTTGTATGTGCACTGTACGGTGCCACAGGCTCCTCTGCCAATGTCAATGGCTTGCGGTACAAGCTGTTCTGCGATGCCAGCAAGGCACGAGACCCAAGGCAACTTCCACCTTGCGAGGACGCCCTTCTCCAGCACGCACGTCGTGCCAATTACCAGGCAGCTATCTGGAAGTCTGCGTTGCAACGCCAACCCGACCAACCCAGTCCTGATGGCCAGGGATGGACTATCGAGGCAGGTCAGTGCATGCAAAGGAATGTGAGATGGCCGGGCCCTATGTCCAGTCATTTCAAAATTGGCTGGACATGGTCCGTCCTCCCCGACCACCACCACCCCACCCAATGCTCCCCCCCCCCCCGTCATCTTTCTGTTCTACTGATGTATAACGATAATGCACCGTACATCTCCCAAATGTGCCTTCACCATCAAGATTTTGAGCCCACCTTCAAACTTTAATAATATTATGTTCCCTACTTAGTGCGAGTATTCAAACAGTTCCACCTAGAACTCATCCAGTATCCCCGGTTTCCTTTTTTCAGACTTTGGACAATGCCCAATGTCTGGCGTTTTTTTCCGTGTGGTGCAGGTGTACTAGTATTGAAGATTGCTTGGCTATTAACCAACGTGGCACCCAAGGAGGTTCTAGCCATGGTGGAGTGCAACTGCGTGGTCGGAGACTGCTCCAGCCAGAGGTGTGCATGCCACAAGTCCATGTTGCCTTGCACAGATGTATGTGGCTGTCGAACTTGCTCCACCAAACCTGGTTCCAGCAGCAGCACCACCACTTCGGAGTCTGTGGAGGATTCCTCCGATTCCAGTGACTGTGGATCTGACAGTGATCCTGAGCCCGCTGATCAGAATGATGCAGCCACATGACGAGCCTGTCATCATTACTACTACAGTCTACGCAGGTGCATGTACAATTTTCTGGATGGGCTCATTTCTTGAGCATAGCATTCGCTGCTATACCAGGCCGTTGTAAACTGTCAGATCGTGTGAAATTGACTTTAGGCCGAGTAAAAAAAATTACTAGATGATCGTCCTTTTTTTTGGAAAAATCGGGGAGGGCGGGAGGATTTTATTTTTATTTTTTTACTTTTTACCCTCTCATGCACACAGTGTACACAACAACATCAAGGTTTTTTTTCTCTTTTTTTCTTTTTTTTTCTTTTTTTCTTTTTCTTTCTTCAGCAGATCGATACTGACGTTGTGATATACTAGTAGTATGTGGTCCATATAGTAAAACTCACGATTTAAAAAATAAAATATTTCTTGGGGCGCTGACAAAAACTGGGGCGGACGGGGACGATCTTCTAGCTTTTTTTTTTACTTGGCCTTAGCATAAAAATTTAATGGAAGACATGTTTGATGTACCTAAGTGTGTGTGCACATGTGCGTGTGCGTGTGTGTGCGGCTGTGTGCATGTGTGTATACATCTTCAGTTGACTATTTCGACACATCCAAGACCAGACTCACCATCGGAAACATTGTCCATCATCTCTCCTACCCGGATGGGACGAAGTATCCGTTAACGCCAATGGGTCAACGGGACAGGACGGGACAGGGGATAGGTGTGTGTGTGTGTGTGTGTGTGTGTTTCCGCCATGAGTGCCCATGCTGCAACAGGCAATTTCGGCGTCCCCAGGATCTGGGACGGCATCAGCCGTACTGTCATTGATGAACTTCTTCCGTGACGTCGTCTCCCACATCTTGGGAGCGGCGTGGCCAGCAATTGCAGCTGTATATAGTAGTAATAGTAGTAGTAGTGTTAATTAATGTGTGTGTGTGTGTGTGTGTGTGTGTGTGTTTGTGCATGTATGGGTGGGGTTGTCAAACGTGTGTGTGCTGCTGCTGCTGCTGCTATTGTTGTTGTTGTTGTCGATTTAGTTGTTGCTGTTTTTGATGTCTGACTAGGTGTAAACATCAATACAGCTGGCCATTACATATGCCTGGCAGATGATTCGCTAGTGATCCTTTGTGCTGGCAGTTGACACTCTAATTCACATTTCTTTTGTATTGTCTTGTCTTTACTTTATTCTCGCAAGAAGAGGGAAAGCCTGAACATGCTTGCTCTTACAAACGCTTCCGGATATATGGTCCTGATGGCAGTGAATTTTCTTACTTCTGTGAAGAAGTTAATTACGATCGGCTTGACATACTTCTAAAATTACTGGCTAAATACCACGAGAACACTGCAATTCAGTTCCAAACAAAAGAAAAAAAAGTCGCCCGATGTGGGGTTTGAACCGGCAACGTCTTGAATTTTTGAATTTTTCAGGGTCTTGACTCTTGAGTGCTTGAAGAAGGTGCTTCAATGGCCGGAGATTTGTGAAATTCCAGTGCAGAAAATCTCTCGGTATGTCTGTTTCTGCACAGCTCTAGCATGGCCAACTAAAAGATTCAGCTTCCTACAAGTATAGTCAATGCACTGTAGAAATTGCAGGTTGTCAGTGCAGGTTGTCAGCAGAAAAAGGAAGCACGCCTGTTGAAACGAGCGATTTCTCAAATTTGGTTGCCGGTCTAAACTACTTTGCAATTGACACGCTTAATTCAGGATATTTACGGACATCGTAACCTGAAGAAGCATGTAGGTCTTGTCTTTTTTGATCTATCAAAAGCGTTCGACACAGTCTGGCATCGAGGCCTACTTGCTAAGGTCCAGTGTCTGCTCTAGGATTGTAGGACAGCCGGGTACACGTGTACCTGGCGCAACCATTTCAACCGGGTCGTAGCCGGGTACACATGTACCTGGCGCTGTCTCACCAGCCGAGGCACATGCTTTAAGGGGGCAGCCTACCCATAAATTTCATATGGCATTCAATTGACCGTAACTTTGGTGTTTCTCAGTGGATTTGAGTGAAATTTTGACCACACACTCCTGCCACTATGCTGGCCCTCAGGACATGATTTACAAGTTCTTGCGCCTCACTGACAGGCTTTCCAGGCCGGAAAAACTCAAATTTCCGGCATAGTGCCACGGTGTGCGAGCCACCCAGGAGCCAAACAAATGCATTTACATTTTTTTCACATTTTCGTGCCCATTCTGTCCGTGCGCGGGACCCAAACCTAAAACAAGTCCAGAAGCAGCCATGGGTGGTGGGGTAGGGCCCCTCAACGTGGCCCTGGAATCTGTCACAACGGAACGAGTGGGCGTTCTCTCGCGGACTCCCACAGACCCAAGTCAATTTTTGAATTTTTTTAGGTTTAGGGTGTGCTACGAGGTCGTACCTTTGATACAACATCCAGTGCTGGGACCTCCACAGCAAGCCATTTCCACAGCGCTGCACACCAAATCCAGGATGCCCTCAGAAACCGGCAAAGACTGCCACTCACGTTTCACTACTGCCTAGTACTGAATCCTACCTGACTTCTTGACACGACTCAAACTTGCCAAAGTCACTAAATCAACGTCAACTACAATAATCAAGCCACATATCTGCAACGTCACGAAGGTGCTGGCAAAAGTCCTGCTGCACGGCGGCGGGCTTCGCCCGCCGCCGTGCAGCCCAATACGTGGTTTTTTAACGTGATTTTTGGACTTTTTTGGACTGACGTAGCACTCAATATGAATTTACAAATTCGATTTTTCAGCGAATTTTTGGATAGTCTGCCACCTTAACTGGTTGGTTGGTTTATTTTAATTCGGACAATAAACGGGAACTAGGTCCAATGATATAAAGGCGAATGGATAAGCCGCATTTAGAAAAGAGAGGGCAGGAATTAGAAAATTACGAAAGAAGAAGAAGTATCTGACACATATACAAGCCATGTGGTCAGTCCTTACAAAGTTCGAAAGTGTAAAGTACCAACCGGGTCACAGGTGACCCGGTACTATATTTTCAACCGGGTCCAAGCGCCGCCCAACCGGGTGGATTACCCGGCTCACCCGGCGCTGGAGCAGACACTGAGGTCGAGTCTATTTTTCTAGTAAGTGGTACAGCTCTGCAGTGGCTGTCGTCATATTTGTCGTCCCGTCATCAAACTGTCCGTGTCTCTGCTTCCTTGTCCGATGCTTTACCTGTAATGTCTGGCGTTCCACAGGGTCCATACTGGGTCCACTCCTTATTTGGCATACCGTATCATCTACAAAACAACAAGGACAATGAAGGCTTGTTTGCTGTTGTACTTCAAGTTTCACTGAAAAGGCGGCAAGGAGACACCATTCCCAATAACGATGAACAGAGAGTGTAGACAGTCAGACCATTGGGCCTGAGGAACAATAATAATTATTTAATAATTTTTTAAATGTCGTTTTCGTGTGACTGTCATTTGAAACAATCTTCACATTGGGATGTTCTACATGTGGACAATAACAAAATAGTGATTTTCAAATAATACCCTGTTGTAGAGTTTTAGATTCAAAAAACTAGTAGCCCGAAACACTGGCAAAAAACTAGCACGAATAATAATAATTATTACAATTTCCCCAAAAAATGTGTCGGCACCGACACAATCCACACAATCAAATAATGCCAATTTAGTAACCGAACGGCAATAATACAGCCGTAAATTCAGTACAGTATGCAAAGTGTGTGTGTGTGTGTGTGTGTGTGTGTGTGTGTGTGTGTGTGTGTGTGTGTCACAGCAGGATCTGCACCGGCATGAGGCCGGATGTTCTGCCGCGATGCCGTGATGCTACTCCTTTGTTCCCCTCCTCATGAGGGCAGCTTAGCCGTTTAACGGCAGCTGTATGTCAAGGTCAAGGTGTGTGTGTGTGTGTATGTGTGTGTGTGTATGTGTGTGTGTGTGTGCGTGCACGTGTGTGTGGTGTGTGTGTGTGTGTGTGTGTGTGTGTGTGTGTGTGTGTGTCACAGCAGGATCTGCACCGGCATGAGGCCGGATGTTCTGCCGCGATGCCGTGATGCTACTCCTTTGTTCCCCTCCTCATGAGGGCAGCTTAGCCGTTTAACGGCAGCTGTATGTCAAGGTCAAGGTGTGTGTGTGTGTGTGTATGTGTGTGTGTGTGTATGTGTGTGTGTGTGTGCGTGCACGTGTGTGTGTGTGTGTGTGTGTGTGTGTGTGTGTGTGCATGTGCATGCACGGGTCCTTATACTTATTAGTTCATGTAAAATCACATATGTTTCGTCGGGCCATGTCGTTTCGGTTCATCTTTACCAGGGCATCGCGAGGTGCATTTCCAGCCACCAGTACCGTACTGTTGGATGGGCAGCCGGCAAGGTCAAACCAGTTGACGAAACCAGGCGTGTGTTTCAGCTGGACACCTGTCGATTTCACCAGCAAACTTACCATGGCATCTTCCACATTGCCAGGTAAACCCTCCGAAATTCGCAGCAGTGCTTGGTGGAGGCCATCTTCCACAACGTCGTGCGACATGATGTAAGCAAAGCCAGAGGGAAAACGGGGGTATTCGCTCAGTCCTTTCAGTTTATCTGAATCTACACAGTTCTTGGATTTGGGATGCTTCTCACAGTATATGATATAAGTAGAAAGGTGCTCATGACCGGCATAAAATCTCGTCCTCTCCTGGCCGTTGAGCCAAGGTATGAGATACCGGAACACAACGTAAGCGTCATCGTCCACCAGCATGACGTAATCAAAGCGCTCGCTTCTGAGCCGACTCCAGTACAGTGACCAGAGCGTTTTACCTAGCATCTTGTCATAGCTATCCCAGAAGGGTCCCACCACCATATCGTTGTTTTTCAGAGACTCATGTCGCAGCTTCTCCGTGATGGTGGCGTTGGTTGACCTTCCTGTCATGAACAAGCACTTCACAGCAGCTTGACTGGATCCATTCTGCTCCTCGATTTTCATCATATGGGACGGATGCCACAAGCCTGCAGTTGCGCATTTGTTGAACCAAAGGTAACGCAACAGAGCACGCTCCTGGAAGTACGCAGGGCCACTCTTGACCATTATCAGAATGGACACGCTTGACTTCGCATACCCGGAAAACCTTTCTTGTGTATCCGTCAGGCCAGGCGGTGGACGCCAATTCCATGTGCCCGTCTCGGCGAAATTATTATTTGAGCTGTCGTGGTCGCTATCACTACTAGTTCTGATACGACCATGTAATTCTAGCTTGGGAACTTCTTGACACATTTGTCCGTCAAACGAGACCATAGCCTGAAGACCAGCCATAAATCGACTCCTTGTCAATGCGAAGAAGCACAACAGAACAGCCTGTGTTCCAAACATTAGGAGAAGAAGTCGAACACCATTCCTCGGCTTGGCCATAGCGATCTCAACAAGAACATAGAAAAGCGGCTTCAAAAAAAATGTAGTCACTGTTGAGTGTTGTACGAGTCCGACTGGTTCACTACACTGACACGAACTAACACTCTATCTACTGAGTACTGTACTGATTCCGCGCCGCGCAGTTACATAGTCGTTATGTACAATCACGTAGACCTACGTATGTACATGCATGCAGGCAAGAGGGTCTTGCCTCATCAGGCTCATGTCATGCAGTCATGGCATGCCATGGACTTTAGTCTTGTCTTGCAAGCTTGATGCAGGCCAGTAGATCTACTACTACTAGTACTAGCAGTAGATCTATGAGTTACTCAGTGGTTCTACGACTACTTTGTGTACATAAGTCATTGTAGGACGGTCTACTTGTTGTAGACTAGCTACTAGTAGTCATGATGCCGCGATACGAAGCTCAGGGATAGTCCCCAAAAAAAGACTCACCATGGTCACACACCCCACAACCCACGCATACCTCCAAGAGTACTCTTATGAATAGTACGAGCTACATGTACATCTACATGATTGTACATGTATGTCCAATACTACCGTAAAGTCGCGGATAAAAGCCGGGTTTGCATACAACTTTAC